ATAAAGTATGTGATTTAAAAGGTTCTAAATGTTTTCTATATAATTTTATTTTCTTTCAATATATAGAGAAAAGTTTTTTTGTAAGCTTGTTTCTCTTTTCAAAATGAGGAGAATGTAATCTATATTTAGAAACAAAATATTATAACAGAAAGCATACAAACACATTTTTTTATGATCAATGCAGTATATATGTACGTATATACACATACATATGCAGCATTGATTATAAAGAATGTGTTTGTATAGCATTTCCGTCATAATATTTTACTCCTAAAAATGTAGCAGAGTTATTTTTATGCATGCTAGAGTTTTTAACGAGCAAACTTGAAAATAATGTATATTTTTCTATTCTGAAATATTTATCCTTCCTTTGTTCGAAGATATTTTAATTTGCGAGCAGCAAAAGTGGAGCTTTTTTGCATGTACCTCGGCACCTACCGGCCGGTCTGTATTTTTGCATGTCTGCCTTTCGTGATCGGTTTGCATTTGACACACCGACCAACCGACGTGCGAAACACACGTACATCAGACACGTACATCAGTAGCGGAAGTTGCATCCAGGTAATACGCGTGAGTGCTAAAGGCGATTAGCCGACTTCCGTGTCAGGATTATGAAAATTTATTTCGGCAAGTTCTCCACCTATCTAGCATGCGCCAAAGCATTATCCGAGCAGTTGTTTAATTCTACTCATTTATAAATAACCGCGTAATTGTATAATTACATGCGAGTGACGAGGTAAATTATTATTATTTCCATGACTAATTAATCCCGGTGCGAGCGCCGGGACATCAACGTGGGATCCATTTATACTGCACATTTCACTACGTCTACAACTGCGTTATCACGATACATAACGCATAACGCATTTTTTTCGTAATAAAATTATCTTTCCATGAATCCGTGTGAAAAAAGGAAACAATGAAGGGTGCAAAGCTAAAAGTGAACACTTATGACGCGTTGTCTGGAAACAATAGCACGAATAATAATATTGTATTAAATTTAATATACATAAAAATTACATTTAAATGACGTTTTTGACAATTGAAATTGCGAATGAAAATTGCATCTCGGATTTTCTTGTTTTTCTACGCGCTTGCTATTTAAA